TGCACTCTGGGGTCCAAATATATGGGCCAGACCCAGTGAGTGCAGTCAGGGGTGCAAGCACATAGGATTTCCTTGGCCACATAGACTTGTAATAATTTACTGCACCCAGGAACAATCTTACTTGCTGTTGGTTCTGTGGAATTCCCACCTTGAGGATCCCGTCAACTTTCTTTTGCCATGGTTTAATACCAGTAGGGGTGAGCCAATATCCCAGGAAGTCAGACTCTTTCACTGCCCATTCACATTTCAGGGGTTGCACTTCATCCCATTTGCTGCTAATTTCTCTAGGACTGGATCCACCAAGGAAAGATGCTGAGTAAAGGGTCCACAAGACCAGATGCCCATGTCGTCAATATAAACTTCAACATCCAAACCAAATAGGATCTTTGTGATGAAGGCTTGGGCATAATCTGGAGATGATTTTAGACCCATTGGTAATCTTAGACATCTGTAATTACCATGTGTGGTAGTGAGTGTGCATATCTTCTGGCACAAGCCATCTGACTCTGCCGTCCTTCTTTGGAATGATAAATGCTGGGAAGCCCCATTCTGAATTGCCAGTAGGAGCAATCACTCCTTCATTGACTAGATGCTGGCATTCCCTTTTGAAGACATCTTTGTGTCTGTAAGGGACTGGGTATGGATTTATGTAAACTGGTTCTGCATCATCTAGGAGATCGATGTGGATCCTTTCATGAGGATACCAACCAAGTTTTCCATCAAACAACTCCTGGTGTCTGGCTAACATCTCTTGGAATGCTAGTCTTTCTGAATCATTCATTTGCTCCTGTTGGTCTGCAACCTGTTTTGGAGTCACTTTCTGGTACTGTGTGTCCAGGATTCTGTTGAGCTCTGTTCCTCCAGTAGCCCTGGCAGCATCTGCTGCTAAATAACTGTCTGTTTTGGCTGCATGTCTGCAGTCTTGTTGGCAGTTTGGGAGTAGATGAAACTCTAGGAATCCTCCATCTAAGAGCTTGTCATCCTCTGCCAGCCACATGGCCTCTGCTACTTGCTGGGGATCACTGAAATGATCTAACGGTTTCATATCAATGGTTGAATCCAACCATTTGATGGTGCGTTTGGAATAGAAGAGGTCTATCCCTGTCCTCAGTAGGAAGTCTTTTCCCAGAATCATATCATAGTTGCAGGGGGCTGAGAAGAGCTGTACATTAGTACCTCTGATGTATTTTCCATTGCCGAACTCGGGAAGGCGTATGTTTGAGATGAAAACATACTTAGAAGTGTCAAAGCTTCCCTGGGCTGTTGTTGTGACTGAGTTGAATTTGTCTTGGAAAGGCACTATTCCTGGTGGAAGGCAACGCTTGTGAATCAAACACATTGTGCTTCCACTGTCCAATAGGACTGTGAATGTTTGCATTGTTGGTAGGTCTTGGATGGCTTTACAGACAAGTATGACTGCTGGTAGCACATCCGGTGGTGGTTTCAGAGCCCGTAAGGTCACTGCTGTTGGATTCTTAAGAGCTTCTTCATTAYCAAGACYRTAGAACTCAAGGCTCTCTTCTGGGGATTGAGTGGATGGCATTGGAGGCAATGCTGCAAAGAAGGCTTCTCGTCCCTTTCTGGATGGTCACCACTGCTGGTTAGGTCCTTGTCCTTGGAATTGGACTGTTGAGCCTGCGTTGCTGTTGGATTGTAGAGAGACGTGGCTTGGAGGGCCTCCACTAGAGCTGGATGCATTCTGTGTTTGTGCAAGCTGGTAAGTCTGGGGTTGATTTGTAGAGTGTTGTTGGACGTGGGTGTAGTTGCCATTTTTATCCATGCTGAGGGTGTAGGTTCCCGGCCCGAGGTTCCCTGTGCTTGATGCAGAGGATGAATTTCCCTGTTGGACTTGATTTCCTCTGCTATTGTTACTGTTATGGCTGTTCCTCCGGTTGTTACCTTGGTAATTGCTACCCTTCTGATTGAATGGATAGTCACCCCAAGTGTGTTCTCTATTATGTTTCCTGCAGGGCCTTGCATTGATCTTCTTCTGTCTCTCATTTTCATTGCCAGCACTGTTATTTCCTTTTCCTTGCTTCTTTTCATTCCTGGGCCAGTCCGAATCTGTCTTTGCTGCTCTTTTCTTAGACTGAATGTATAATTGCTCCTCATCTGCTATCCCTTTTTGGTCTGTCATGTACTGCACAATTTGCTCAATGGTGTTGTTGAGGATGTCTCTTCCACATCTAATATAGTCATTCTGCCAAGACTTGGGAAAGGATCTAAAGAGAATCTGCTTGATCTCTCTGTCTGACAGAGGTTCCAGGATGCCATGAAGGATGTTGGCTCTGGCACAACAGGTTTCAACTCTGTCAGTATGGGTCTGGCAGGAACTGGAGTGGGGCTTTCTGATAGCATCTGATTGCATGTATTCAATAGCTTCATCACGAGCTCTCTTAGATGGTGCATAGAACTTCCTGAAAGTGAGTAGGGCTGTCTTCCACTCTTCCAAGTTGGTTCTTGGTACGTCCGCTAGTCTGATATTGTTCCACATGCTATTCCATTTCTGTCTGGGTCTGTGTGCTAGGACCATTTGCCACTTCTTATCTATCTGATCCTCTGGTAGTTCCAAAGCTACTATCGCGTCTTCAAAGTCTTCCTGTACATGAAACAGTTCTTGCACTCCATGCTCTCTGGAGAAGGTTAAGCAGTTCCTTGTTAGCTTTCTTACTGTGCCTCTGTGGTTCACAGTAGTGGAGGCTGTCTTCAGTTGGCTTGAGTCAAAGCTGTTTATTAGGCTGAGACAGGATCAATGTTGTTTGGGGGAGGAGTTGGTGTTCTTATTTGGTTTCACCATGGTCGATTGATTTATTTGGTTATTTTTCTTAATGGATGATTAATTTTGATACATGAAAAATGGGTAGTAATTACTGTGCACGAGATACGTGTACTCTTAGTATGTTTAGTGTGTATAAAATTGAAAATGATAAGATTAAGATTATCAAACCTCAATGTGAGATTTCTGAAGTTCTGATTAGTTCCTTGTGTAGATCTGGTACTCAATCTACATGGTGTTCTTACTATTTGGAACTCGTGACATCTATGTTCTTCGTAAGATATTCTATCTCTAGATATCTTGGACCTCTTATGATCCTCGGACCTCTTACGATCCTCGGACCTCTTACAATGGATCCTATGATACATACATATGAAAGGTACATTACAATATGTACGTAGGAATGGTATGCTCCCTTATTCCTTTCTTTGAAGCTCCGTAAGTATTGTATCCGTTGCAAAATCTTCTTTAAATTGCCCAAGAGGAACAATTGAACCCCACCCTATTAATGTCAATGAAGAAGTGTACCAGAACCCAGTAATTTAGAAAGTTCTACCAGCCATTTACAAGAAATTCCTCAGAGGCAATGGAGATGTTCTAACAAGTTGCATCATCCAGGAAGACAATGCAAACCCTTATACTTAGCAACAGAGCAGCTGTAACAGCTGCAGCTTGTAATAACAACTGGAATATTGTCGTTAAGCCACAACCATCAAACAGTCCTGATTTCAATGTTCTTGTTAATTTGGGATTTTTTGCACGAAGTAACGTGTACTTGATTGTTAATTAGATTTGTTTTTTAGTAGTGTTTAGATTGGTATCTAATTAGGATTGTGAGACTAGTAAAACTAATGAATAAGCTGTCAACTCAAGGAATCCACCTCTCACATGCTTTCTTCCTGTGTTATACTACTGGATTCATTGAGTTATAATTGATGTAGATATATACACCATCCAAGCAGTACTAATCAAGTGTGTGCTCATTTCCACAGTTTTTGGATCTCGTACATCTCAATACTGACTCTACTGAGCGACGTTAGAACAGAACTCCCAATCAACTAGTTCTGTTCTGGATTCTATTTCTCTGCAACAGATACGTACGTACGTGCTGTATGGGAAGTATACTTACATACTGTATTGGAAGCATACGTACATACAATGCTTCATCGGAATGGATGGACATACAATTCCTACATACATATCATACAATTCATTGTACCGAGAGGTCTAAGAATATGAGGTACAATTTGAGAACACCTTACTACGAAGAACAAAGATGTCACGAGTCTTGAATAGGAGAATCCTCATGTACATTCAGTACCAGATCTACAAAAGGCAGGATCTAATCAGAACTTTGGAATTCTCGTGAACGCGCTCGGTAATCTTTAATCTTATAATTTTGATTTCATACACACTTAAACACTCCTAAGAGTACATGTATTTTGTGCATTCTCCTTCTGAGAACTAGTAGTAAAGAGAAAATATGTAGTATAGTATAGTAGTACTCGTATACTAGTAGTATTATAGCTTTCAACCTATATAGTACTATGTATATATATAGTTTTTGGTCCCAGGAACTCACGATTGAATCCACAAGTGGTCCCCTGTACTGTTCCTAGTTCCTATGGTACTTGTTGCATTTTTCAATTCTATCCAGAGCATTCAGCAGCACAAGAGGAAGTGGTCTTCAAATGATCACATTGATTGCCAATGTGATATGCTAAGGAATGTTTTTTTTGTCACTACAGTGTGCAATGGAGGTGTCACTTGGTGCTGGTGGAGACAACACTTACATAGTTTGACACCTCAGGAAAGCATAGCTTGCAATTCAAGGAGAGCTCCCACCATTATCAATCACTTGTGACCAAGAAAAGATCATCTTTGCAAGTTCAGTGCTGGCAGACTAAACAATAGTAGCAGTACTACTACCAATACTGTTGCTGGTGCTGGTAGTAGTAATGGTATTGGTACTAATAATAGTTGTAGTAGTAATGGTTCTTGCAGTTCTCTTTCATTTGAATGAAAGGGCCATTGCAAATTGTACCATTATTATGGAAAAATTGGAAAAGGGAACCTGTACGATTTTGAGGTAGAACGATTACGTAAAGGTACTACGGAGCCGGGTAGCCGCTGTCACAAACTCAGAAGCAAAAATGACATCGAGGGGATTCGAACCCCCGCCAATTAAGACAACGGCCTTAACGTTGCGCCTTAGACCGCTCGGCCACAATGTCATCTGGGGTTGAAGGATAACAATTCAGATATTTATACTTTTCACTAGGAAGGCATCCGTCGATAACTTTCGAAGCTGAAAGAAGTTGGATCGCACCACAGTTTCTGTTATCGACCAAAACCATACCCGCTGTTTGTTCAAACCGTACCGGCCGGTACCGTAGTTCGTTCATATCGTGTGTACGAGTGACCGTACCTGGCACTGACTGCACTACGAGGTTCATACTCGCCCTACAGTCTATTCGCAAAAGCAAAAACTCGAGATCCTTTCGTTCCGGTCTCCGCGGCACACAGACGCAAACCAGGCATTGTCCCCACCGACAAAGCCAGTCAAAAGGAAGAGAGAGAGAGAGAGAGATTGCCACTCAGAGGAACAAAGCCCATTCGTCCGTCCGGGAACCGAGCAACAAAGCACGAACCACAAGAAGAGATTTGCAATCGATCAACCAATCGCCCGCACGTTTCAAAAATGGTGGAAGACACGAAAATGGAAGACACGGCAGGGATCGCGCCAACGAAGGAAGAGGGCCCCGATAAGCAGGTCAACCCACCTTCTGTCCCCCCGCTCGAAGCCGCCGGGCGTCGCCTGGAACGGCTGCTGGGGGGCGGATCCGCGGCCGCGTCCTCGTCCGGACCGAGCGATAACGCTTCCGGCCGTCCGCTAGCGAGGCTCTACACGTACGGAACCCCCGTGAAGGTCACGCGACGGTGGCTCGGAACGGCCTCCGGGGCCGCCGGGGAGGCCATATCGTCCGACATTGTTTCCGCGGCGACCACCTTGCTGGACCCCTCCCACGAAGACTGCCGGACGCGATCGCTCCTCCTGGCCATTGATGAATCGTCGTCCATGGAGGTGGAAGGCGAGGACAACGACAACGGCAACGACGGAGGCGAAGCACCAAGTACCCAAGCCAAGGATGAACCCGAGTACCTTTCGGCCTCCCGGAGAGAAGTTGAGTCCTGGTTGCTCAGTCTCCAGGTCCGCATCTTGTGGAAGGCGGGAAAGCACCCCGAAGCCATGGAACTGGTCGAAAAGGGAATTGCCATTCTTTTGGAGCAGGTCACGATCGCCGCCAAGAAACTAACGTCTCTGCCCGGAGGGTCGGTGTCCTCGCTCTTTCCGCTCCTAGCCCGCCTATACCGGTACCGATCGCTCGTGGCCGATTCGATGAAGGACCCTTCCGTCACGGCCGGTTTGAGGAACGTCATGGCCAAGGCTCACAACATGGCCTGTCTTCGCCGGGACGTCGACTCGCAGGCAACCCTCCTCAACCTGATGCTCCGAGACTTGCTTGAACACTCCCAAGGTAAGTTACTTGCCACGCACGAGGCTGCGAAAAGCTATACCGGAACGGTTTGCTTTGCTTTGCTTTTAGTTTTGGTTTCGTTTGGTTCGTCGTTGGAGGGTCTCCCGCGACACCTCTCGCACTGTACAATTGCATATTTCTGATACTAACACAAATACAAACAACATTGCTGCTTGTGTGGGATCCTTCAGTCGAACAAGCGAACAAATTGCTTTCGAACGCAACCTTTCCAGAATCGGCGTCCAACAACGAACTCTGCCGATACTTGTATTACAGTGGACGAATTCAGGCTCTTCGGTTGGAATACACAACGGCATTCTCGAATCTTAGTCAATGCCTACGCAAGGCACCGACCAATACGGGCCTCGGCTTTCGAATCACGGTCCAGAGGCTTCTAGTGGTTGTCCAGCTCCTGATGGGTGAAATCCCCAAGCGACACGTATTTTTTAGCAAGGGGATGAAGACCGAAATGGCTCCCTACCTGGCGATTACGCAGGCCGTGCGAAGGGGAGACCTGGCGGTGTACACCAAGGTCGTTTCCGAGCAGTCCTCGCAACTCCGGAGGGATGACACCTTCACCCTGATTTCCAGACTGGCCCAGCAGGTGGTGAAAGCGGGACTTCGAAAGCTCCACGTGAGTTATTCCCGGTTGAGTCTGGAGGACGTTGCCAACCGCTTGGGCCTGCCCTCAGCTACCTCGGCCGAGTTTGTTGTTGCCAAGGCGGTCCGGGACGGCGTCCTGGACGCCACTATCCACCACGAGGAGGGGTACGTGCAGAGCCACGACCTCGTCGACGTCTACGCGACCAAGGAGCCCGCCGAGGCCTTTCACCGCCGCATCGCCTACTGCCTCACCACGCACAACGATGCGGTGCGCGGGATGCGGTATCCACCGGATGCCTACAAGAAGCAGCTGGAGGCCAGCCGGGGGAACCGGCGAGGAAAACGCGGTAGCGACGACAAGACGGACGAAGAAAAGGCGCAGGAACTGGAAGACGAATTCGACGAGGACTACTAATCGAATCCACCGAATCAATCACACTAACATCAGCAGGAGCAACCAGCCTGGTGACTGGTCAACTGCGTTGGAGAGTAACTTAATCTCAATAATAATAGGAACGATACAACATGACAGAAAGCCCGTCTCAATGCTCTGCGGTCTACCGAAACAATTTGTTGGCGTGTTTGTTGTTTGTTGTTTGCTGTCTGTGCTCTGATGCCCTACCATACGTACGTACGTAGCATACGTACTGGCGTTGGCGGATTTTTTGGATTTCCGACCGTTAGTCGTCCGTATGTCTACCGTACGGTGGTCGCTCTGCCAGTAGTGGCACGATGTTTCGAAGTCGTTGGGTTTCCAGAAGGATAAACACCGAGACCACCGACACATCCCCACTGTACCGTACGTACTAATGTACCGTAGCGTAGGGTATGGCAGGGGTCTAAATTATGACCCCTGGGGTATGATACGTACAGTATGGGTTGAAATTAATTACTAGTAGTATTTGTACGCAGCACTCTACGCTACGGCATCGGAAAGTCTGTCTGTCATGGCACCGCTGTCCTCTCCCGTCACGGGCGTCCACCATCGTTTCCGAAATCGAAATCGAAATTGGAATCGGAATCGAAACCGGGACACTGGGGACGGGGCAACCCTTGGCGACGACGGTTCACCAACCAACCTTCGAGGCCAACAAAACGCGAACCGTTTCGAATGGAAACCAGCGGTGGTCTTTGCAGGCGCAACACACAGAACGCAGAACAGACAACACGAGACACACCGTCTCGGCAACAACCACACCGCAACACCATGGCCGAACCCACCGAACCGACAGACGCCGTTGCGGGCGACCGCGATTCCGACCGCGACGTCGAGGACAAGTACGAGTACGACAACGACGAGTACGACGACGACGACTTTGGCGACGATGAAGCCCCCCCGGCCCTCTTTCGCATGTCGGGGGTCGACACGAGCCTCGGGGACGCCTTTCTGGAAGAATGCCTCGAGGCCGTCCTGCTGCGGGGGCAAGAGGCCGCGGGAGAAAGGGGGAGCGACGAGCCGAAGCTCACCGTCACCCTCATGGAGAAGGATTTCGACGAGAAGGGCACCCTCCTGTTCCTGGTAAGCGACGAAGGCGGCGGGGCCGGCGGAACGGCCCCTCCCACGACGCCTTGCGACGTTGAAGGGGCGATACGGGACTACCTGGAAGCGAGCCAGCCGGGAGACGGGGAGGCGCACCCCTGGGTCGGAGACCCCGGGGCCGCCTCGATCGAGCTCGTCGACTGGGAGCTCGACGACGCCCCCGGGGCGGGGGTGGACCTGGCCGAGCTGGGCATCAGCGAGGAAGAAGCCTACCGGCTGCTGGTCGACGGGCAGGCCGGGGACGGCGAGTGACCAACGACGGAACCAAAGGGTTCGGTGCGATGCGATGCGACAGAGACCTTCCCTCGTCTGCACGGTGTCTCTCTCTCTCTCTCTCTCTCTCTCTCTCTGTGTGTGCGGGTCCGTGTTTTGTTCCCTCCGACCAAGCCTGGCGGGATGGACCCGGCAGGCGTTTCCACGGAACAAAACCCATCCAATCAAGCCGCTCGTTGAAGCCAATCCGCAACTACAGCAATAAGCAAGAACCAAAACAGTACTGTAATACCATTAATAGATTGTTGCCAACGCTGGGTGATTGGTGTAGATACCACTCCCTGACAGCTTACGTACTAGATCCTCCGGTAGCCATGCATACCATTGCAACCAATGCTTTTTTTGCAAAACAGATTGGCACCAAGCCACTGGGCCAGCCCTATGTGGACACTACAATGCCTCTGTACACCCGACTTTCCTTGGTTTGGCAATAAGTTGCGGTCTTGCTTTTGGTCGCTTGCGAAACACTGTTTGTGTAGCGCAGTGTGGAGCACAACTGTGTGGGAGCGCATTGTAGTCTAGCAGACAAATGATTTGTTTTTGCATTTGTCTTCAAAATATGGATGATGTAAACATGAAATTAACATGCAGAGAATTAAATATGTTGTAATGGAACAAAATGGAAATCAAAAGAATAAATTTGGGGGGTTACTAGGACTCTTTGCCTGTACTGGGTAAATTATTTCAAGTGCATTAAGCTGGGAATCACCAAGGAAGAAGCCTACAGGCTGCTGGTGGATGTGCAGGGTAGCGCAAGGACAGTGAAGGAGCAAACACAAAACAATGACAAAGGAATTTAGTCCAATAAAGAAGTTTCCTCCTCTGTGCTGTGTGTGCACAGATGCATATTTTGTTCCATTCAAACACGCCTGACAGGGTGGACTTACAGATTTTTCAACAGAAGGATACCCACCCCATCAAACCACTCATTGATCCCAAAGAAAACTTAACATTTCATTCAACCCCATGAACTAGAATAGGCACCAAGATGGCCAGAACCAACACTTATCAAAGGACACAAAAGGGCAGGATCTCCAGAGAGGTATGACCAGGGTAATGCAGAGGTAGTAGTGGGGTGGGCTGATTGAAGTAATGAAATTCATAAAGGTAGTTTGGTGGCTTTTCATGTTGTCCTCCAACATGAATGTTGGTAGCAATATGATCTTGATGACTGGCAGAAGATGTAGCTTCTGGAGGAACAGGGGATGAACCCAGCTGATGCAAACTGCCAGGAGCTGGGGGGGGGGGACTGGAGGGAAGGAATGATACTGGTCTCATCAGTAGCATCAGCTTGTTTAGATTGTTTGAATAGAGGCCAGGAGGTGGATTTTCCCCTTTTGTAGGGGATGTCACCATATTGGTTCAGATGCCAGAAGGTGCAGTTCAGGTATGTATGTAAGTATGCATGCATTCAGGAATCAGTAGGAATTCTATGCAACGGATACGTACGTACTGTATCTGGAGTGTACGTACATACTAAGAAGGAAGCATACGTACATATGATGCTCCCTCGAAATGGAAGGACATACCATTCCTACCTATATATCATAATGTACTATTCATATATACACATCATATGATCCATCGGTTGAGGATCGTGAGAGGTCTAAGATACTATTCGAGAATACCTCACAAAGAATAGAGATGTCACGAGTCCGGAATAGAGAACCTCCGTATAGATTCCCTACCAGGTCTACATGAGGTTCTAATTGGAACTTCGGAATTCTCGTGAACGCACTTGGTAATCTTCGAATAATTCTAATCTTATAATTCAATTTTCATACACACTWAAAACATACTAAGAGTACACGTAATCTCGTGCACAGTAATTACTAATTGATTTTCGTGTATCGAAATTAATCACTCATTAAGAAAAATAACCAAAAATACCACATCGACCATGGTGAAATCAACCAACTCCACTCGCTCATGCCTTACCCTCAACGATAGGTTCAAAGAGAGTGACATCAAGGAAATCAACCTCTTTGTGGACCATCCGGCTAGGACAGAGACCTCCGGCAGAGGATCCAACCAAAGAACATTCCAAATCCCGGCTGCAAGATTGAAAAGAACCTGTCCAGTCTTCTCTGGAAAATATGGAATGCAGGAACTATCCTATGTACAAGAGGGATTTGAAGATGCAATAGATGATTTGGAAATAGCGGATGGACAGATAGACAAGAAGTGGGTAATGGTATTGGCCCATTGACCAAGGCAGAATTGGAACAACATGTGGAAAGGTCCGGACAGATTGCGAATAGGGAGAGACACCAAAGAGCAGTGGAAACAGGCCCTTGTCTCGTTTAGAGAATTTTATGCACCATCGAAGAGAGCAAGAGATGAGGTTATTGCATACTTGGAGTCAGATGCCGTAAAGAAGCCCCACGACATCACTTGTCAGGAACACGCAGAGAAGGTCGTTGTTTGTTGTAACAGAGCCAACGTTCTCCATGGTATTAAAGGTCCCTTATCTGAACGAGAAATCAAGGAGATTCTCTTCAACTCCTTCCGCAAAACTTGGCAAGCACAGTACATTAGCTGTGGTAGGGATATCCTTGAAGATACACAAACGGAGATTGTCAAATTCATGACAGAGCAGAAAGGACTTGCTGATGACAATGATGAAAGGAAACAATATTCAAGGAAAAGACCAGCAGATGATAACAACAGTGCAGGACAAGGAGGAAGGAATGGGAAACAGAAGAGGCACAACAACAATAGCAGCAACAATAATAGGAATAACAGACAGAATGAGACCCTGGAAGAGAGGCAGAGTAGGATCAATGCACAGCCCTGTAGGAAACACAATGGACAACATCTTTGGGGCGAATGTAGATTCAATATGAAGGGTTATAATCGGAGCAATAATAACAACAATGGAGGAAATCAGAGCAACCAGGGAAATTATGGAGGAAGCCAGGGAAATTCAAAAGCAAGCAGTAAGAGGTTCACACCGGGATTATACCTATGCTCAATGGATGAACATGGGAACATGAGCAATTTCCAACCTCAATCAATCCAAACTCAGAATTATCATGGCTCTAACTCCAGTGGTCCTCCAAGCCATGTATCACTACAGTCCAACAGCAACTCCGGATGTACGGCTCGATTCCAGGGACAAGGACAAGGACAAGGACAAGGACCAAACCAACAGTGGTGACATCAGAGAGAGGCTTTCTTTGCATTGCCTCAACCACCATTCACACAATCATCAACAGACAGCCTTGAGCTTTATGGTCTTGATAATGATGAAGCTCTTAAGAACCCAACTGCAACAACCTTACGAGCTCTGAGAACACCACCGGATGTACAGGATGTACTACCAGCAGTAATCCTAGTATGTAAAGCCATCCAAGGCCTACCAACGATGAACACMTTTAAAGTCCTATTGGATAGTGGAAGTACAATGTGTCTCATTCACGAGCGTTGCCTTCCACCAGGAACAGTCCCCTTCCAGGACCGACTCAGCTCAGTCACTACAACGGCTCAGGGAAGTTTTGATACATCCAAGTATGTCTTCATTTCCAATATCCGACTCCCCAAGTTTGGCAATGGCAAATACACCAGAGGAATCAACACAAGACTCTTTTCTTCCCCTTGCAACTATGACATGATTCTCGGAAGGGACTTTCTATTGATGACTGGAATAGACCTCTTCTATTCTACACGCACMATCAGATGGTTGGGATCAACCATTGACATGAAGCCCACAGATCATTTCAATGATCCCCAGCAAATAGCAGAAGCTATGTGGCTGGCAGAGGATGATGAACTCTTAGATGGAGGTTTCTTCGAGTTTCATCTGCTCCCTCCAAGCAGCTGCCAACCACAAGATTGCAGACATGCAGTTGGTTTGGACAGTTATTTAGCAGGCCCGAGTGGCACTGCCAGAGCTACCAGTACTGAAAGTACACAGCCAAATCAAATACTTGATGCAAAGTACCAGCGAGTAACTCCAGAAGAGGTTGCAAACCATCAGGAGCATATGAACAGTTCAGAAAGACTAGCATTCAAGAAGATGTTAGCCAAACACACAGAGTTGTTTGATGGTAAACTAGGTCGGTATCCTCACGAGAAGATCCACATTGATCTGAAGGATAACGCCAAACCAGTTTATATAAACCCATATCCAGTTCCCTACAGACACAGAGATGTCTTCAAAAGGGAATGCCAGCATCTGGTTGATGAAGGAGTGATTGCTCCCACTGGCAATTCAGAGTGGGGCTTTCCAGCCTTTATCATTCCAAAGAAGGATGGACGAGTCAGGTGGCTTGTTGACCTCCGAGAGTTAAACAAAAGGATTAAAAGACCTAAATTTAATCTCCCCAAAATCCAAGACATCCTGAACCAAAGAACACGGTATGATCACTTCACGAAGATTGATCTTTCTATGATGTTCTACTGCTTTGAATTGGATGAGGAGAGCCAGAAAATATGCACTCTCACTACCACACACGGCAACTACAGATGCCTCAGACTGCCCAAGGGACTCAAGTCATCTCCCGACTATGCACAGGCCTTCATCACAAAGATCCTATCTGGTTTGGATGTTGAAGTATATATTGACGGCATGGGGATTTGGTCTCGTGGACCTTTTTGTCAACACCTTTCATTGGTTGACCCAGTCTTGGAACAATTGGCTTCCAATGGGATGAAGTGCAATCCACTCAAGTGTGAGTGGGCAGTGAAAGAGTCTGAATTTCTTGGATATTGGCTTACCCCGACCAGAGTTAAGCCATGGAAGAAGAAAGTAGATGGCATATTGAAGATGGGAGTTCCCCAATATCAATCACAGGTCCGATCCTTCCTTGGAGCAGTGAACTATTACAAATCTATGTGGCCTCGCAGATCACATGTCTTGGCCCCACTAACTGCCCTCACTGGCTCAGGACCCTATGTGTGGACACCTGCATGTAATCAAGCATTTCAAGAGATGAAGGCGCTCCTCGCCCATGATGCTATTAACACCTTTGCAGATTTGGAAGAACCCTTTCATATTTACACCAACGCTTCCGATTACCAGCTCGGAGCTGCAATACTACAGAATGACAAACCAATTGCTTATTGGTCTAAAAAGCTCAACAAAACTCAAATGAAGTACATCACAATGGAAAAAGAGCTTCTAGCTATCATCCTATGCCTCAAAGAATATCGGAATATGCTCTATGGAGGCAAGATCTACATTTATACTGATCATAAGAATCTTATCTTCCGGACCCTGTCTCAGTCCCGAGTTCTCMGATGGAAACTAAGCCTGGAAGGCTTCAATATTAACTGGGAATATATTCCAGGCAAGAAGAACGTTCTTGCAGATTGTTTTTCCCGAGTGCCCAGAATGGATCCGTGCACTGTGGGGGACAAAGAGCAGAAAATATTTGAGAAGAATAAAGGAACAGTGGTGAATTTCAAGGAGTTAACAGCCCAGGTGGATCCGGAAGATGTATTCTACTTGGAACCAGAACTATATGAGTGTTTACTCAACTTACCACCAGTATCAGAAATGGAAAATCCAATAACAAATGCAAGTCTTTACACCTATCAGCTCACGGATCCCCAGTGTCAACACCTGCTTGAAACGGATCAACGCTATGCCAAGAGGAGGATAGGAACCTTTGAGTTAATCACAGTATCCACGAATGATAACAACAATGACTGGAAGATCTACTTGCCCGATGGCCTAGTAGACAAGACTCTTTGATGGTATCACCTACTATTAGGACATTGTGGAGGCACTTGATTATATGAAACTATCAGTGCTAGGTTCTATGCCCCACAACTTAGCCTAAAATGCAAACAATATCAGTGCCCGGATGAATGTCACAGATTCAAACAACAAGGACAAGGACATGGCTTATTACCAGCCAGAGAGGCTCAGCTCGTTCCTTGGAATGAAGTATGTGTGGATTTGATTGGTCCCTGGAAAATCCTCCTCCCGGATGAAACTGAATTAGTGATCAATGCCCTCACCTGCATTGATCCAGTCACGAACCTATTGGAAATCATCAGAATTAACAACAAATCAAGTGAGCATGTGGCCGAGCAGTTTTCTAACTCTTGGTTGTCAAGATACCCACGACCCAACAGGTGTGTCCATGATAATGGTTCCGAATTCATAGGGACCCCATTCAAACAGTTGCTGAATCAATATGGAATTAAGAGCGTTCAAACTACTGTTAAGAACCCACAGGCAAATGCAGTTTGTGAAAGAGTTCATCAGACAATTGCGAATGTATTGAGAGCTACTCTGCATTCAAGCTTGCTTGAAGAAGCTGACTTTGATGAAAATCAGATAATCGACAATGCCCTTGCCACTGCAATGCATGCTACCAGATGTGCAGTGAGTGCAGCAGTAAAGACCTCACCGGGAGCTTTGGTTTACAACAGAGATATGGTGATGGACATTCCTCTCATTGCAGATTTGAATCTTATCAGAGATAAAAGACAACACCAGATAGATGAGAATCTTAGAAGAGAAAATGCTTGGAGGATACCCTTCAAGTATCAGGTTGGACAACAAGCTTACATGAAACATTATGAACCAGACAAGCTGTCCCAAAGATTACATGGTCCTTATCCTATTGTGGAGATCAACACCAACGGAACTGTGGTGTTGCAAAGAAGTGACAACGTATGTGAGACTGTCAACATTAGGAAGCTAGTCCCTTACAAAGAAACTAATGCAAATGTCACTCCTGAAGACCCAGCAGCTGAGGAGGAACCCCCAGTTGAAAATATTGAAGATATGATTTCTACAGTTTAATGCTGAGTAATATTGCGATATATATTGGAGCAATATTTGCAATATTACTGTCCGGGACAATGCAACGGATACGTACGTACTGTATCTGGAGTGTACGTACGTACTAAGAAGGAAGCATACGTACATATGATGCTCCCTCGGAATGGAAGGACATACCATTCCTACCTATATATCATAATGTACTATTCATATATACACATCATATGATCCATCGGTTGAGGATCGTGAGAGGTCTAAGATACTATTCAAGAATACCTCACGAAGAATAGAGATGTCACGAGTCCGGAATAGAGAACCTCCGTGTAGATTCCCTACCAGATCTACATGAGGTTCTAATCGGAACTTCGGAATTCTCGTGAACGCRCTTGGTAATCTTCGAATAATTCTAATCTTATAATTCAATTTTCATACTAAGAGTACACGTAATCTCGTGCATTCTAATATGTGATACCTTTCAGAACCAAAGTGTAAGTTTGTGTATTTGAAAAAAAAAAACATTTTGAATATTATAGTAACTTGTGTAAGATACCCCAGGGGTTGTTTACTCCTATTTTTCAATGGAGGAAAGTACTGAGCAAATTGGATTGATTTTTGCAGGGGAAATTGTAACAGCATCACTGACAGTTCTGTGTAAACACTGATGTACAAGTATGACACGGAATTGTTGGTAGCATTAGATATGAAGGCTTGGGATCAAGTAGAAATAAAATAGTGTCCTCTGTTGGATGGAGCTGGGGTCTGAGGGAAATCAATTGGTGAATTTGCCATTTTACCAACCATGCTCTGCACAATGTCTGCTTCAGAGAAACAGTTTGTCCATGAAGATTGTGATTATGTTTCCCCCACAGGGACATGCATGAACTCAAAAAGAATTCAGTCAAAAAGGCTCCCAGCACCACAGGTAAATGGGAGCTATAATGGAGATCCAGGATCCAATGCTGGGGGAGGTGGCCCCATGAAAAGATGGTGCCAACCAATTTCTTATCAAAAGCTATTACAAGAAGGCAAAGAAACTTGGGTTATTTTTCTGGAGTTACTTCAACCTCATTGTCAAACCATTTGGCAAACAATCAAACTAGTAATGCCATAGATAGATTGTTCCCAACATTGGGTGATTGGTGTAGATGCCACTTCCTGACAGTTTGCAAACTGGATACTCAGATAGCCATGCACATCACTGCTATCAGAGCTTCATTTGGAAAAGGAAACATCACCAAACCATTGGACCAGCCCTCTGTGGGATTCTAAAATGCCTCTGGAGACCCACCTTTCTCTGGTCTTGCAATGTATTGTGTTGTTGTTTGCTGCGCTTGGTCTCTGCCCAAACACTTCTATTTGTGTAGCGCAGCGTGGAGCCCAGCCACATGTGCGCACGCGGCAGTCTAGCAGAGGAATGGTTTGTTTTTGCTTGCGTTTGTATTAAAAATGCGGATTATAAATATGTAATAAATATGCAGATAATTATGTTGTAATGGAACAATTGGACATCGAAAATATGAAATTGAGGAGTCTCTTCGCCTGTACTGGGACAAACATTTCAAGTACATCGTGTCTATCGCAAGTGTTTTCACCCTTGCAGGACAGTGCACATCACAGAAGTAGTTAGTAGGCGCGGCTGGGGTACTTCCTAGAATGGTAGTCCTTCGGCGCGATTCCAAATCACGAGTCAGCAGTCGGTTCCGCCCAGGTACTGTGCTTCATTGTATACTATGCAACAATACAGAATGCTATACAGGTACAAAGAAGATCTTGTGCGTTTCGTCCCCCTACGGCAAAATTCCCGAAGTCTCGCCACCGCTGCTGGGAGCCGCGGAGCCTTCCGCCGGGTCGGGCACCGGCTTTCCGCTGTCCAACGCGGCATTGGATGGTGCGGTATCGAGAGGAATGCCTTGCGGTGGTGGCTGTTGTTGTTGCTGTTGCGGTTTTGGTTGCTGCTGTTCGTGATGGCCGATGCCTGCACCGTGCTGTCCTCCTCCTCTGTTGCCACCACCATTGTTGTGGACTCGTTTGTGCTGCACCTTGAGACGCTTGTTGCCGATTTGAAATCCATTCATCTGCTCGATTGCAGACTCGGCAGAAATCACAGAATCGTACGAAACAAAGCCTGGATTCAACAAGGAGAAAATAACAAAAAGGTCAAGAAAAACGCGTGAGAGAGGAACGATTGCCCATCGGTAGATCACCTGCAATCAAGTCCATGAATCTTCGAACACAGATCCAAATGGTCTTCTTTCAGGACACTGATAACTTACCGAAACCCTTTGAATCACCGGTATATCGATCAACGTAAACTTTGGCACTAATGACGTTGCCGAAAGGATTAAACGCCGTGGCCAGGTCGGCATCTGTCAAATCGTGTGGCAGGTGATACACGAACAAGTTTGCTCCCGCAGGACCCTCACGCGGCCGAGGGTTAGTCGATTGGTTGTGGTGACGCGGGTTGCCACGAATGCCATCTTTCATGCGCTGTGGGTGTGTGGACTGGTGCTGGTGTCCTCCGTCTGGTCCTTGGCCTTGTCTTTCGCTGAATCCCCCATACGGATGGGGACTTGGGTAATGGGGCGCCGGCGGATAGCCCATGGGGTTGTACATTTGTCCACCGGCTCCGGGCCCAGGGTAGGGGCCACCATAATGTTGCATTTGGTGGGGAGGTGCCCCCATGTGCGCGGCGTATTGGTGGGGTGGACCTCCCACGGGAGGCGGACCCATGGGCATGTGATGGCCCGGGTACGGACCGGGATATCCTCCTGCCGGTCCTCCAATAAACATCTCATGTCGCCTCACACTCCTCATTTGTCGTACATGGCGTTGGTGTTTGGTATCAGCGAATTTGACAATCAGAGGTCTGGCGGCTCCTTCCATGACAAGGTTGTTGTGAAGCGCCTCAATAGCATTTACAGCCGCATCTCTTCCGACATATCTCAAAAACGCTGCGCATTTGCTAGTCCCATCACCGTTGCGGATCATATAGATCTCCCGAATTTCTCCGAACGGTGCAAAAAGTTCGCGAACTTCGTCCTCCCCGGCTCTTCGTGAGAGCATGCCAATAAACAACTTGTTTTCTTGGACCGAAGGCTCCGCTGGTTTCACCTGGGCAGGTCTACGAGCGCCGGGAAAGAAATGTCTTCCGTGAAGTGCTTCTTGCGCTTGTTCGGCATCGCTAGCGGACAAGTAAGTCACAAAGGCGCAGCCTCTATGCAACTGCGTATGCTTATCACGAATGATCGAAACATCTTTTAGCGGTCCAAAGTCATTAAAGGTCGGGAAAATGTCCTCCTCGTTCATCGTCTTGGGAACCTAAAGGATATACGAAAAACAACAAAGTTTGGAGTTGGTTAGCATTGGGATAATGAGACCCGCATTATTGGGAATATACAGAAAGCGGTTGAAATATGTGTCCATGGAAAGCCATATTTTGACGAGCGTCACAAAGAAGATTATTCGATATATTGGTTTGTTTCCGCATAGTACACACGTGTTGTTGTGTTACCCAGCGAACAAACTCTCCACCCTACATCCACTGCATCATTGTGATAATCAGCATAGAGATTGAATTCCGTCGGATCGCATCTCGTGGCATAAACAATAAATGTTGACCTGCGTATTCACTTAGGATACGTTACATGCGACGTATTTCATCGCATTGGAGAGGTTGTCGGTTGTGTAGTATCTCGTATCAACTGGCATACAAACTCTCTCGTTTTCGCTAAAGTTCTATTTCGTACCTGTCCTACAAATAACTTGATCGGTTCGTCCTCGTTCCCGTTTCTGTCACCCCCGTCTTCGTTCGCAATACGATCGCCATTGCCATCATTTGATTCATCATTTCGATCGTTGCTACCGTCATTCACGTTATTCCTGCTATCACCATTGTTGGCGTCCTCGCTGCTGTTATTGTTGTTGCTGCTATCGTTGCCTCCCTGTCCGGCTCCTCCACCGTTTGTGTCCCCCAGCCCCATCGATTGAAACTGTGATTCCAGAGGAAGCTGGTGGTGTTGTTGTTGGTGCTGTTGGATGTAAACTTGTTGGGGTGGAACCATACCAGCCATCATGTGAGGAGGATACTGATGTTGATGTTGGGCATACGGATTGTGAATATAATGTTGCTGGATGAGGCGTTGCTCCTGCTGCATCGACATGTTATACTCTGCATGCTCTTCCTCGGCAGGTGACTCTTTCTTTTCGTCTATGGTACCCGAATCCGATACGTGCACGGGATGACCTTCTAACTTGTCAACAATGACACCAGGCTCGGGTGCAACATTTACCGGTACTGGTTGCATCATCATACTCGCGTGGTGTTCTCGTTAATCCACAATGAATTTACAGCGATAAAGACAGCAGAATACAGATAGTAAACAACTTGTACAGATATGACACCAAAGGACAACAAGGAGCACAAGCTTTGTTGTTGAAGTTGTTATTATTGCTGCTGCTGGTGCTGTCTGTTAGTGATGTTGTTGATGATCGATACGTGATTTACTTGAAATATACCAATCCTACGTTGAGTTCTATCGCGGATACGGTACAAATGCTGTTCTCATGCTCGTGATGGAACGAAAAGGGTAGGAAAATGGCATTTTTGTTGTCATATTTCTATCGTAACGCCTGTCAGCTAGGCCGGTATGCAAAGAGCCTGTCAGCAAGCTGGCTAGCTTTCTTTTCTAAGTAATTCAAAAAAGTAACGGTTTCGTGGCCAAAAGTATGACACAAAAACTGTTTGAAGAAAGAATGAGTTCTATTTTGATCCAAGAAGGCACCTTGGAGAATTTTGAGTCGAGTCGTCAGTCATACGTAATAAGTAGACAAAATAATGTCATTGGGGGTCTGTCCGCTGTCCCCAAAATTGACAAAAAAGTGACACCTTTCAAAAACATCTTCACATCATGGAAGATACCTGATAGCTACGTAGTTGGGAAATAACAGCATGGTACTCGTAGTAATGTACCGGTAGTATGATACTGTATGATGAACTACAAGTTTAATCGGAGTAAAATGCGTTAACCGTATGCACCCTACCACTTCCTACAGGGCAGAAAGGCATTCTATTCAAACACCAAAAATTATTACTAGTAGGATCACGGTTAATTTTAGGCCCAGTATTTTAGTACTGATCCTACATAGATCTACCAGTTTTGGTCACTTTTTGACCACAAACAGTGTAATAGGACATTTAGAACTTACAGGGCAAGACACAGGACAGACCACGGTGGACGCGTGTGGATACCCACGCGAGGCCCACCTGTGTCTGGACCAGTCGACTCCCCCCGCACGTGCCGCGACAGAGTACACTAGGTTACATGATACGACGATACGATGATATGGACTAGTAGGTACGTAGGCAGCGTCCCGCGCGGGGACCAGGAGACGACCGGGCCAGGGCATAGGTAGGGCACCTGGGGTGCCCTCGCATGTACTACAGCCCAGGTGAGAGCCACCTGACGTACGACCCAGGTGGGTGAGGTCACTCCCACCTAGCACCTACAGGAGCCGCACCTTATGTACGGCCCAGTAGGTACCACAGTACGTGACAGCGGCCTCACGTGACATCACGTGACAGTGACCTCACCTGACACTCACCTGAGGCTACWGCGAGGGCATCGCGATAGGGCTTCCATCTGCTGCCACACACAATCCTGGTGCAACAGCAGTTGATGCCCTCCTACCTCATGCCCAGGTAGCATGACAATGGGATCACCAAAGCTCAAAAAATTCCCACCATCCCACCCGCGACGGTACCTCTGTGCACTTCATATCTGCCTGAGTGTTTCCCCCACCTGAACCCCATATGGGTCAGTCCAGGGATTCACACACACTCAGTCCCCCTTTTCGTATCACATTCACCTAGTAGCTTTGTTATCCGCCACCTATGTATGTACCATAGCTAGCGTAGTATACAAGCGTATGAATGTGAGCACAGAGTCCATGCATCCGGAGTGACGTACAACCGAGGCGGCGCCGGGGTATCCCTACGGGATACGCTCCAGTATGGCCTGAGAGCAGCTGTTCTTTGGGGAAGTGCTGTAAAGTACTCCTGGTATGAGCCTACCGTTGTGCGTACCGGTATGTACGAAGTACGGTACCGTACCATTTTTTTAAAAGAATACGACTTCATTTTTTCGAAGAACGAAGAACTTTCATCCGTCCCCGATACAAGCGATAAACATCAACAACCTACCGCCGAAGTGCAAAGACGAGGTCAAGAGGAACTACCGCCGCTTTCGGCTGATGCTATTTCAGGCATCAAACGACGTCTTTGGGAGGAAACAGCCAACGGTCTTGGAAAGGTTGTCAGAAACCTAAGAGTTGCGTGGTACAAAGGAGATGAAAGGGTGTTCTATAAGCGAGAAGAACAGCAATTGGAAAAGTATCTTCCTCTATTTCAATATGGCTTGGCGCTGTTTGTCTTTTCATTTTTTAACTTTCGAGCTACGAAAACTCCGAGGTTTCAAAAGTGGCGAACCGGATTTTTGGAACGCATCCGACCTTCCCCACCCGAAAGCTTATCGAAAGCATCACAACAACGACAGGGGCTACGACAGGTATCATCCATTAAGTCACCTCCTACCGTGGGATACTTAGAGCGCAAACGCAAGCAAAATGTTGATGAAGCTCTAAACTCAATGAAATACTTCACAGACTTTTTGGTCAGTTTGAGTATCGGCACTTCTGCGACCCTTTTCTTACTTGAACGGAAGTGCGGAAACAATCTGAGAACTGATTTTGAAGAGGCTCCTTTAGTGGCCGGACGAAGCCTCATTGCCGACAAAATCTGCCCTGGAATGCTAGAATTGTGCTTCTCCGACCTACAAGTCCGAAAAGCATTTGAGGATAACCAGAACCAAAAAGATCGACCATGGGAAGCGTCGTCCTTCGATCCGAACCTGCACACATTCTTCATTTTCATCAATAATTGTCAAAAACGGAAGGATTACGAATCAAGTTTGCGACAACAAATGCAACAAGCCACCACATTGAAAAGCGGCGCGATACTAATCCCGCATACTGGGGTGCAGTAGTTGTGTGGTTTATTCTTGGAGTGAATACAGTAGTGAATGAGTGCATGTATCCACCGACCAATCGACCATGAAATTTTGACAAACATTTTGTGCTACTGCTTAGTGTAAAAATCGTCGTTTGGTCATTTTCTATGTGCTCGTTGTGAATCGTTTGGCTTTTGATGTAGTGAAAGCGAATCTGATGATGTCGTATATTTAACAACTTCATGAAATCGCGACAGCGATTGTACAAGTTATCGACCATATTGGAGGTATCAAGAGCTGAATGAAAAAGAAAAAGGAGAGGACTCTCAACAAGATACTGGTGGCACCCGATAGACGAGAAATGATGCAGCTAAAAACTACTTCCGATGTGCAAATATTTATCTGGGAAATTTATAGCGTTTCTTCATAGATGTATTAGTATCCATTACCAGCGGTAAAGTCCTCTGAGTATGAATGATCGTGATATTTATAACCATCTCCGTTTACTTCGGTGGAGTCGTTTGATAATAGTAAATTGTCCTTATCGTCGTAGCGCTCGAAATCGCCTCCCTCTATATCTTGCTGTTTGTCGTGTTCTTGATCCCACGATTGTAAATCCCATTCATCTTCAACGCGTTCAGTGAAATCCTTCGTGGATTCACTGTCTGGTCTATCTATGACCAAATGCGTAAAATGACTTCGGTGGTTTAGATCAACACTTTTGTCGAATTCATACATTTCATCGGGATCGCTTAATTCATTCCAGTCTGAGTAAATTATATCTTTCAAGTCTTCTAATCCTTCGTGACTTGGACGAAAATTTTCTTTGGATTCGATGATATCATTCCACTCAACCATCTTTACTTCATTAAATTTAAGAACATTCCCCAGCCAGCTATAACCTCGGATTTCTGCCGATCTGTCGGTGAAATCGGCTCCCATCATAGCCAAAATACGATTCGTCGCTTGATTGCTTTTCTCTGTCAAGGTCCGAAGTCGCTGTAGGTCCCTTCGAAGACCTCTATCGAATGCTCTCGAGGAGCAATATTCCAATAGATCTCTGTTTACAGTTTCGGGTATGGTAGAGTTTTTGCTGATGATGGAAGATTCAGATCCTTCCGATATAGTGTCGTTAAAATGAACGAGGCCATTCTCCTCCATGTACTTCCTCCCAGCCTCAACACGCTTCAACACAGATGTAAATTGCAGAATGGTATAAAGATCCTGACTAGCCCACTTTGCCTTGTTTTCGTTGCTTCCAATGGTCATCGTATCTTCGTCAGCGTAAAACTTGCTGAAGATGTCGTAAGTTTCCAACCGATTCATAAACAACCGATCAAGGGTCCCTTCTTTTACAATGGTTCCTTCTTCCGCAACAACAAAGTTTACATCCATTATCTCCGACTTCCGGTTCTCATCACTCAATGCTGCTTTTTGAAGAACATTTTCAGATCCCTCGATTGAAGAATTTCCTTTCGCGTGCTCTAATGTGGGAATCGCAATCGCCAATGCCGAATCGTCAGTTGAAGTATTTTCTGTCGCGTTCTCGTCCGGAGAAATCTTTTCTGTCAACGCCTCGCCGTCCAATTCTGATTCAAGAGATTTAATTGGACCAATAGAGTCCATGAATGAGTCATCAAAACCATTCAAATACATTGCATCATCTCCGAAGTCAGGCATATCGCCTGCAGCATACCCTTCTATCTGCGCAGAATCAGACCATTCCTCCCCGATGGCTGGAATTACAGGGATCTTTGGAATCTTCGTTATCATTGGCGAGTCGAGAGGTCGAGTCACTTGCTCGAAAGGAAATTCCATATCCCCTTCATGACTAGTAACATTTTCAGAATCGTTTCCATTTTCTTTTCGAATTGGTTTTTCTGTTTCATATCGCATAGTTTCGGTGGAAGATGATTTCATTTTGTCGTTTACTTTGTAACTATGATCATCCTGTTTCGCGATAGAACTAAATGCTCCAGGAAATGCATCTGGCCGTTTGCTCAAATATGATCGCATTGCCGGAAGGTCGTCGATGCCCACAATACCCTCTGGAATATCGATAATTTCCTCAATTAGACACTTGAAAAGCCACTCCTTTTCAGGCGCACTCCATTGAATATGCCCTCCAAATCCCGATGCCTTGGTGACTCGAATGGAGTCATTAAGAGACGTCCGGGCTTCAGCAAACCGAACGAGTATGCTCAACAAAAAATCTTCAACAAACAATGACCTAACTGCTTTGTTGGACTCTATAAGAGAGCTGGTTCCTTTTTCTAGAAAGTCCAAACCCTTTGAGCTTGAAGTCGCAACGTATCCTGCAGCCGTTGCATCTGGTGTAGTCCATGTGCCGTGGTAATTGTTTTTGTTAAATCTGACGCTCGATTCTGGGCCAACGTACTTCTGGTTACCTGCTATGTAGGTAAGCTCGTACCGAAGGGGAATTCTTTCATTTGTGTGCTTTCAAAATAGCCAAAAGATAGAAATGAATGATTTAGTGTGAGGCAAATGATTCAAGCAATATAGAATTTGATTCTCTTCTAGAATAAATTGAACATACCTTATCTTTCGTCACTCCAAGCCATTCCTCGTCAAACTGATTGCCTCCAATACCCGCAATGTGATTTGTCATGGGGCGTGGGAGCCTCTTGGCTGCATTCCTGTGGTTAATTTGCGCTCGTTGTCTCTGCATTGGTGACTGCTGTTGTCTCCATTTAGAGGGATCATCATCGGTGGGTTCAAAATGTCGTGGTGTTTGAGATCTGTTTCGGACGTTGACCTTGTTCTTCATTCCATCCGCCAGTGCTATATCCTGACTAATTTCAAGGCTCTTAGAAATTATAGGCCCTTTCTCAGTTGATCCTGAGGACAATTCATATTTCATTTGGGCATTCATGGCTCTTGAATGGGCAACGTTTGATGCCCTTTCGACTAAGTTTGATGCTAATTGAAGCCGTGTTGTACTTGATGCTTCTACTCGATTTATATCACTTTTCTCGTTCTTTTGGTTTCTATCAACAAGGTCTGCAAGTTTGGGAGCTATGAATGCAGCTTTTTTCATTCGATCATCTACATCCTCAAAAACCGAGAGGAACGATGCCAATCTATCAAAAATCTCTCCAAAACTACCGTCTTCTCCATCGCCAGCTGATGGGTTATACGCAGCGACCATAGAATTCATATGCCACTGACTCCATTCTATAGCTTCATCAATGACATCGACTCGGAATTTTTCGTCGAGGCCCTCAAGCCCTCGGTGTTCTTCCAAGAAATCTGCCGGGTCTTTTACGGATTCAGGAAGATTTGCAACAAAGAATTCGACGTTGGATTTTTCCGTTACAGACAAAAGAATTGGATCAGATCCAATGCATAACCGTACAACTGCAGCAACTCCAGCATTGTCGTTGTCGAGGCACAAAACAATTCGTCCTTAATTCGATAAAAATAGCGAAAATTGAGCAAGTGTATGGTTAAAAAAGTAGGTTAGTTTGATTGAATTGTGGCAGCCCAAAACTCAAAGAAGGTTTTTTTTTTTACACTCCGCGTGCTGGTGGTTCTACAAAACAAGCAGCAAATTTTAACCTACCACCGCTCTGCCTCGCAACACTTGCCGCCGCTAAGAGTTGTTCCTGTGTAAGAGCCGTTCCCATTGACGCTACGGTTTCCTTAACCCCAGCTTGCCATAGGGCAATGGCGTCCATATAACCCTCTACGATTATCAAAGACCGTGGTCGGCGTTGCGCTGTCGTGCCAGTTTTCATCACGCTACTTTCACTGCTAGAAGCACTAGCATCGATGGCCACTTCAAAATCCACCATATGTTGACCAAAGAGAAGCTCTTTTTTTTGAAAAACCAAAGATACGGGACTGTTGAGGTATTTTGCAGCCTTGAAATTGGAAGAGGGCTCTCCTGACATTTCCAGTGTTCGGCCTCCAAACCCAAGTACGTGAGTACCTTTGGCATCAAAGATAGGAACAACAAGTCTTCTACGGAAACGGTCCATAATTGTGGAAAAATCTTGGTGTTGATGTTGCTGTTGGATGACTTCGTTACCGTCCTCGTCACAATTTTTTTTGGTAACATCGAAATTTTGGCTACTGCTCTTATTCTGTTGCTCTTTGCCTTTCTTCGTTAGGATTGCTAGTCCTGCATCCAAGATTTCTTGGGGGGTAAATCCTTCATCTCGCAACCTATTGACCAAACTTCCCTCTCCCCAAGACTCTTTTCGTTGCTGCTGACGTCGTTCACCACGAGAGAAGTACGACTCAGGAGCAAAACCTATTGCAAAGGCCTTTACAGTAGTCGGGAGTACCCCCCTTGATCGCAAATGCATTCGAGCTTGGCCTGCAGAGACTAATTTGAACAGATTTTCTTCGAAATAAGCCGCCGCAAATAGGTTAGCGTGCAAGATACGTTCTCGAGAGGTCGTTCCAATTAGCGAGGATTTTTTTGAATTTGCTCGTTTTATGCTTGTGCTCCCTGTGAACCCCTGCCAGTCTCGCCGCCTTGGAGAACCTCTAGTTATGGATGTTGCATCTGCAAACTCTTGCAGTGCCTGCACTGCCTCTATAAATGACAGAGGTGAGCCATTGTCCTCGGGATATCGCTCAGAGTACTCGCGAACGAACTTCAGTGCACTTCCACCTGCACCACACGAAAAACACTTGTAGATACCTCTCTCCCCGCTGATTTGCAACGAAGGATTTCTATCGTCGTGGAATGGACACAGACATTTCGCATTACTAGAAGAGGTTCTCTGAAATCTTGGCAAACCGTATGACTCGATGAGGGCTACAATGTCGACCCTATCGAGCAACTGGTCAAGTTCTTCGGGAGAAATGAATTTTTTCCTTACAACGATGCCGCTGCTACGAACTGGACCGCCCGAGGGCTTACTTGGTTTGTTCTCGTCGTTGTTTTGGTGTTCAGTTGTGTTCTGGTGAGAGGATGAGGATGAATTGCTTTTCATCATTAACGTTGCATTAGCAGTAGCTGTACCGGAGACCATGAACAAGTTTCCTATCCGCAAAGAGGATGATAGTAATAATGATTGTGGTGGCAAACCTGACGATGAGGAGATCTTCTCGCTGTCGCTGCGAAGATGTGCAGTTCTCGTCACGAGCGGTGGAATGAAGGCAGACACTTGAGTGAAGATTTTTCGTTGTTGATTGCCATCGGTATACCTGGTACACGTGTCATTGATCAGGGTAAATAGAGGTAGGACAAATATGATGAAGATTAAGCTTGGAGACAACGAGAAAGGAATTCTTCTCAATTTCCATTTTCTTTCCCGCAATGTTTGCTGCTGTTGTACAAGAAAATAAATGGCTGAATTTGAAGGTACGTCGTATTTGTCGTAACCCATGCTGAGGACCATAATGCGTTGATGACAATAAGTTGGGACTTGGTTGCTTCGTCGAGTTAGTTCTTGTCCTGCCACCACTCTCAAATCCAGTGGAGTCCAGTCCTGTCTGAACCCACTTCGTTCCTCAGGGCACTGCACGGCGTGATTAGACTTAACCCTATGATGGAAACAATGGAATACACTCTACCCTGTATCGATCCACTCTCTAGCCCTGTCCTCGACAATACCGTAGCAACGCACTGCAGTGAGTTTTCACTCTCTTTTGACGTTGAAACCCTCAGCAAAAGTTATGCGAGTACCGGAAGGCAAAAAAGGATTTCCTCGAGATGGACATCAAAATTTGAACATCATGATTACTGTATTGGTTGATCCATCATGTTACTTCGTACTTCTATCAAGTTTCGGGCCGCTTCTGATTTCTGATTTGCATCGGATGGTCCTAGTCTGTCCGTCGTTTGCGCGTTTCTTCGTGGATCATTCCCATTAACAAGAATAATCTTACAAGCAGAGCTTGATTCCGGCTAAGTGGCTGGACTACAGTCTACAGTAATTGCTGATGTCACTAACGGTTGAAAATAGATCAGCAAACCAATCAAAAATGGAAAAAAGATGCAAAACAGCCAGGCCCTGTACAGTTCTACATGTAAATATTTATTTCTTATCCGTGGGTAGACCTGCTGATATTGATTCAAACTACATACCAGTACTCCCATAGATATCTATCTACCATACATACTGTACATATGGTAAATGGAATGTACCAATGCTGCCTTGAAGTGACACATGGTTAAGTGCATAATTGAACAATAGAACCGCTTAGTCGAATAACAAGAACTTTATACAAGCAGAGTTTGATTATGGCTAACTGGTTTGGTCTTCAGTGATGTCACTAAACACTTGAAAATTTCAGAAACATTTAAAAATAATCAATTTTAGCCAGGTTTTATACAATTCTACAACTAAATTATTATTTTTCACCAGGGATCACCAGCAGCTCATGGTGTCAGAGCCTACTAGTAGTACTACTACTACTATCCACCATTTACTAGTAGTAGTATACTAGTAGCCAAATAACCCCCTCACCAATAGAAGTACTACTTCCTCTGTCCAAGAACAGGTGTCCCCTTACTGTTCATGAAACAAGGGTCCCCTTTTAAAAAAAAATCTCAATATTATGTTTAACCTTGTGAACTAGAAGAGGCACTATGTGGCCAGAACGATAGCCTTGGGGATGAGGTTGCTTCGCTCTGAGGAGTTTTGGTGGAAGCGCAACCTGGGAGGGGGGGGTTGGCTGTATAATTATTTGTAAAACTGATGCAAAGTAGTCTGGATTGGCTGAGGTGTCACTGAGGCCAAGGAAGTCCCTGGCAATGCTGGTTGTTTGCGTAGTTTCTTCTTGAGTATGCGTCAAAGACCAGTCTATCTTGTGTGACACTCTCTGGCGGTTGTCTACTATGAGGCAGGTGTGAAAAATACTGGGCAATAGGGCAGGTGTTGGAGGTTGATGTGAGCAATGTCTTGCAAACACTCAAATGAATAGTCTTATCATAGACCAGGTGGTAATATGTGAGCAAGGAGGTTGATGTGAGCAATGTCTTGCAAACACTCAAATGAATAGTCTTATCATAGACCAGGTGGTAATATGTGAGCAAGGAGGTAGAAGCAGTATCTATGAATGTCTCCATATCTTCTGGGAATAGGTGGGCATGGGATGGACAGGTCAGTGGTTTCAGTTCAAACAGAGTGCAGACTTTCATTACTGCTTGTTGTCAATGCTGTACTTGCTTCTGAGAAAGAGTGTAACCATGAAGATCTTTATTTCTCTGTTCCCATAGTGAGATAAGAGATAAGAAAGAATTCCACAAGATAGCCCCCCAGTACAAGTGGGGAGTGAGAGCTGGAATGAAGGTCAAGATCAGAAAACCATTGGAATGAAATATGACCAGCAAACATGTGGTGCCATCCAATCTCACTCTGGAAATGAAGAACTGGATGAAGGGATGCAAGATATTTCTCTGGGAAAAATGTGCCAGTGTCCAGCCATTTGGTAAGACAGCTAGCAAGAGTGTCAATGGCAATTGGCTGGAAGCCAAGTGTGGACATCTGTTCGTGCAGAGAGGCAATAGTCTGTTGTTGCCATCTGAGTTGCAATGGATGATTTAGATGCTCAGAATCTTCAGGTGTCTGGCAAAGACAACAGGTGTCATGGGTTCCACTTTCTGATAACAGTAGCAGTTAGCAGAATGTGATTACAACATTTGGTGAACAGTACATTCATGGATATGCAATTGATGGCAATGCTCACCAGGGATTTCCAGGCAATATCAGCAAGGACACGTAATGGCCACTGGTTTCTATCTGCTAAGTATGCATGATATCAGGGGATCAAACAAGAGTCTGTAAGAGCTCTCTTATATTGGCATGTAACTATATTGGTGTTTGATACTATATTTAGATTTCATAGTGGTGTCTTCCTGAGGCAAGCCAGCAGTGTTGTGATCCCATATGGCGGGTAATACATGGGAGCTAATTCTCTCCATCAACATAAGTGGGGTCACATTCCTCAGAGAGACCACTATTGTCATCATTTTCTTCATCAGAAAGATCACCTCCATCCTCCTCCTCCCAAATAACACTTATAATTGGTTGGCCATTGTTGTCATCATTGACATATCCCTTGTCATCTGCCGGCTCCATTGGCCATGATTCGTCAAGTGCCTTCTCCTTGTGCTGTATGTCATTGTTGTTGCCATTGGTCGCCGACTCTGATATGCATTTGTCCTTATCACAGTCAGATTTGTCATCTGGGATGTCATTACTGTTCCTTTTGGTCCACCAGTCCTGGGGGTCCTTGCAAGTGTATGAGAGAAGGGATTTGAAAGCTAAGAATTTCTGGGTGGCCATATTCCTTAATTTTGTATGGATGTCTCTCATTGAGACAGCTAATTCCTCACCACCGACATTTGCCTTCTGCTTTTTCTTCTTGTTTACAATGGGGGAAACAAGAGCCTCTGGACAAGTGGTCTGTGAGGCTGGTGGGAAGCAGTACAGGAAGCCCAACCAATGGTGGAAAACAAGAACACTCAGATTCCAAACAGACTTAGTCTTTGAACAAAAACAACACACTGGAATGAGAGATATACCAGTTTCACGTTTGGACAGAAAGACATCCGTTAGGGACTCATCATGTTCACCAAAAGGGTTGTGGTTGGACAGCACTACATCCTTATCCTCAGACTTGGTTGTTTCCCCGTTGTTGTTGATGACTGGGCCTTTCAAGTGCTTTGGAAACACCAGCTCAACCTTTTTAGAAATTCAGATGCCAGGTAATAACTAGTCAAGGGTTTACTAGATGCAGATGCAAACTGCTTCACCAACAATCCAATAACTTCCTAAAAAATTGGGATATCCATGCCTTTCTGGTATTTGAATGTTTTTTTTTTGGCAACAGAGCGGTACTCCCAGAAAACATTCAAGGCACTTTTGGCGTTGAACAACTTCTTTTGAAGGACAATGTCCCAGGATGAAGCAACAGGTTTGTCACCAATTGACAGTTCTGCTTAACCAGCAGCCACCTGTAGATCAGCAAAGGAAAGAGTTGGAAAATACTGCTCCAGGTTTGCTCTTATAGCATATCAATCATCCTCTACTCTCACAATGTTCCTGGTAACAATCTGTTTCATCCCTACAGGACATTCAATAATTGGCTGCAGAAAAATGTTGGTTCAAATTATGGTGGTGATGTCAGCCAGATTCTTTTTGGAGTGTTCAAGAGGATCCGGTGTTGATAACACAGTATTAAGAGTGACTGTTGACCATTGATTGTTAACATCAAGCTTCTGATGCTTCAAGACAGGAAGATTTTTTCTTGCATAGGAAAGAAAGAGGTTGATTTTGGATTTGTTACCAGGGAAATCAAAAGTATTAGCTTTACAATTCATGGATTGAAGAACATCACCATTGGTGGGAGGACTACAAAACCAGTCCTTTTTCATATCTTTGGTTATCTTGTTGATACAACCACAAATAAGTCTGAACATCTTGTTGCCAGTGGTGGCCCTGGGAGAGGTCAAACAAGCGGACACTGTTTGCATTCCAACTACATGGGTCTGGTGGAGACCTTCCAGAAATGACAGAGAATGACATCTGTTGTCAACAAGTTCCTCCAGTTCCTGAACAATTGCCAACACAGGTGATGTTTTGAGTAACTTGTAGTAATTATGATTAGGGTCAACTTTGTGTTCAAGTAAGGCACACAGGTCTAGTAGCATTGATGCCTTGAACTGTTTTGTTAGGTGATCAACGACATCCATTCAACTTGACAGAGAGAACTTGTCCAAGAATGACAGAGCCTTAAAATAGTTTTGGACTTGTGGTGAAACATTGCCAACAACAGCATCCTTGGTGTGGGAAAAGACAACTGCAAAGTTTTTCAAGATTTCTGATGACCCGTCCAGCACATATTGATGGCGTCAGGGGATGACATTCAGACAGAAAACAACATCAGAGTAAATAGACTTGTTTGTATTGAGCAATTGGGCAATGACATCTTTCTTTGAAGCACCAGGTGGCAACTTGGCTGGCATCTTGGTTTTCAAAAAAAACAAATAGTTGTGGTACAGGTTGTTCACGATTTACTACTGCTTGAGTGGTGCAAAAGATAAACAAATTAAATTGTGAAAAGTAAGAGTGATTTGTCATCTGGTAATGCAACTACTTGGGTATCACAATGGTTAAACACTGTCACAACCTATCATGACCTGTAGCATCACAAATAATTGGGTTCACAAGCTGCCATGATTTCGGTTGAAAGAACGCAACCAATGTGACATA